AGTGTTTCTTTAAAAAGAAAAAAAAGAAAAGAAAAAGTTACTTCGGTCGAGGCAGAAGAATGAATTGTAGAAAAGTTTGAAGACTATTTTTTTTTTAATTACAATTAATTGTCAAAAAAAAAAACTATCATTAGTTTATTGTTTTAAATCAAGTTTTATATATATATATATTATAAATTAAATATAAAACTCTGTTGCGTACAAACACTAAGAACCATTTCGTAAAAATTAATATATATTTTTTTTTTATTTTGCGGGTAGTGAATTCTGGAATCCGAAATTTCAGATAATTTTCCGAATGAGTGAGGTCCACTCTTAGTCTTCTTAACTCTGGTATAATGACCACGTCACAAAACGAAATTTGTAGCGAAAAAATTAAAATTTAAAAAAAAAAAATACAAAAAAAACCCCAAAACGAAACCTTTCTTTTATAAAATGTTGGGTTAATGTACTTGAAACAAATTTTGTATTTTCCAAATTTGTACTCAGAATGTTTGTATGTATTTATGTATGTTCATATGAGTGCAGGGCCAAGCAATTAATTTCACTTTCCAAGTTTCCAACCATGAGACCCCAGTTCTAATCTCAGCATAGTCAATAAGTGACTTCTGCATATTATCAGCTTGGGTTGGCAATCCCAGCATGTAACGCCTTTATAAAGTGCTTGTAAAACAATACCACACAGTTGATCCGAGCCTTGTGGGTAAAATTGGGTAGACCACAAGTGAGCTCCATGGGTGTTGAACAAATGCAAATGTGCCTGAGCAGACGTCAGCAACAGGGATTGGCTAGCTACTTCAAAATGAGTAGCCAGCCATTGTGCATAATGATACATATAATTATGACCCTTGCACTAAAGATTAGGAATATTTATGCATGTAAGACACCAGCCTATCTATCTATCTATCTATCTATCTATCTATCTATCTATCTAAGTCTACTCATTAATTCCAGGTAAGATGAGAACAAATAGAATACAATTACAATGTTCATAACATTTAATTTAAAAGAGGGCTCAGTACAAAGTAAAGCAATAATATTTATTTTATGATATTACACTGAAAACACGTCAAAATCACTACACAATTGCAGTCATGTTTCAATGCATATCAAAACATATCATCATGCGATTGTAAATTACTGGCGAGTGAATGATTTATTTAGATTTAAAAGCAAAATACAACCTCTTTTTATGAAAAAATGAAAAAAGGTGGGTGGTTATAAGGTTTGTGGGCTTTACTCAGGTCATATTCGATTGGTTGATCTGAGTAAAGCCCACAAAATATACATACATACATACATACATATAACATAAAAGGACCCGTATATATAAATAGCCAAGAAAAATAACAGCACTTGTGGCCTGACAATTGTGTCTAGCATGAAACAGACTGTTGCCTCTAAGTGTTGACTTCAATGTTCACTTTTACATTTATACACGCACTATCTCTGATATTGAGCACTTTATTCCATAAATATAGCACACCTTAAGACTATATTTCTTTTATATATATATATATATATATATATATATATATATATATATATATATATATATATATATATATATATATATATATATATCTCACAGTCTGTTCATATCTATCTAATAATCAAGTGCATTTTGTGTAAACTTTTAACAAACATACACAAATATGTATCAGTAATTGAATAGAATACATTCCTACACACAAGCTGCCAGTGACACGCTGGCAGTCCTCCGGGCATGTAGTGGTCTGCCAGTGGTACCATTGCTGAAATGAACACACTGACAGTCCAACAGTGAGCCACCAGTGGTAAATGTTAATGGCATGCCACCTCGTGTGCATGTATGCTTTTACTTTGCTTTTTGAAAAAAACACATACTTTTAAAAAGATTTTTACAAAGAGGAGTTATTAATTAAGAAGATGTAATTCAACCAATATTATACAGTTTTTGTTCTGAAGCTCTTCCCTAAAATTGTGTCAATTTGTCAGTCACTACTTCATCTTGAGGTCCCAGGCCACACAGGTTAATGTGTGTCAGGATAGACTGAAGTGTATCTGTTGTTAATAAAAATCAATCAATTAATCAATCAATAAAATAAACAGAAATTTCTTACAAATTTTATTTTTCATTTGACAGTTTACAGTCGAATCTCACTGAAAACAATGTTTGTCATTTCATCAGCGGAGTTAAGCAATTTTGAACCCAGTCAGTACTTAGATGGGGGACCACTTGGGAATACAAGGTATGGTAAGCAATCTCCTACACTCTAAAATATGTTTCAGCTTTAAATAGCTCACAAAGGGTTAAAAAGTCACTAAATAAAATTTAAAAAAAGCAAACTAGCTTTAATTTTAGAAACCTGACATTTTAAAAGAATATTAAATTCAGTTTGGAAATAAAATGACACTGGTTTCATCAAATTTTATGAATGAAAAAAACTAATTTTATAATAATAATAATAATAATTATTATTATTATTATTTCCTTTGATGTCTGTTGTACAGACCCCAAGTCAGAAATGACATCATTATATTTTCCACTGATCATTTTTATATAAAGAAAAAAATAAGATCACATACATTTTATATAGATAAAGCTCTTTGTAAGGTGTGAGCTGTTCTTGTGAGTACAATTTTTTGTATTTCTATAAGACATGGGCTACCTGGGATTCCTTCAGTGAGTCTATTAGAAACCTTTCCAATCAATCCAAAGGATCCAACTACAAGTTGAATTCCTAATGTCCTCATATACCCCATTTTTGAGATTCCCATTTTAAGGTCCTTGTATTTTGATAGTTTTTATGAATATCTTTCAAAATAAATTGCAATCTGCAGAGACTGCCATGTCAATAAAAAAAAACATTCTGTTTTTGTGGTCTTTGATCACAATGTCTGTGTGATGAGCTTTAATAGTTTTATCGGTGTGTATTGTAAATTCCCATACAATTGTTACAGGTTCTTTATCTCTGTAACCAGGTCTGCATGAGCATGATGTTCTTGCCAGTTTCTTGTAGTTTCCTTCCCTTAAAAGTTGCATATTTTCCAGTGCAGATATTGGCCACTCAGTCATGCTGCAATTTTATATTATTATTGTTATTTCCTTTGATTTCTGTTACATACACATGAAGAGGATTATTTTAGCATCGCTTTTGAGTTTGGTATATTGCATTGGCTTTTATTAAGTTCTTTTCTACTGCAGTAAGTGTATTATGATTTATTTGAACTTCTTCACCCACTTGAAATACCCTTTTGAATTTGTTGGTTTCTTTTAATAAATAAATAAAGTTGCTTATTTCTTTCATGTTCTTTGACTCAGATCATTATCCAGTCTTTTGTATTTTCCAGTTATTTTTGAAAACCAATTGTTGTAGTTTTGTAAGGCAGTTCTAGTTGAACTAATCCTCTGCCTCCTTCGGATCTGGACACATAAAGACAATCAACATCAGCCTTAGGATGATGCATGTGGTGGCAGGCGAGAATCTTTCTCTTTTTGGTATCCATTCGCTTAATGCCAGCTATGATCCAGTTAAGGATGTTGAAATTACGCATCTGTAGTATTTTTTTTTTTACTTTCTCCTTCATTTGTGTATGCCGTATTCCATCTCCTTCACTGAATTCTAGGTATTCATAGACTTCTTCTTGTTCCAGTTTCCTAATCCTTGTGACAAAATCTAGATCTATTGAGTGTGTTTCTGTAATTCTCTCTTTCTTGAATGTTACTTTTTCACATTTATCTAATCCAAAATCCATACCGATTTCATCACTGAAACATTTTACAGTATTGAGGAGACCCTTCATTGTCATCTTTGGCAAAGAGTTTGATATCAACCATGTAGAATAGGTGATTAAACATTTTCTTTTTCATTTTGTAACCATAGTTATTACTGTTTAGTTTATGCAAAAGGAGGATTAAGGACAGACAGAAGAGACAACAGGGAGGGGAGTCTCATTGAAAGATTCCTTGTCGGATATTCAGTCGGTTGTAGATGGCAGTACCTTTTGTGTGAATTAGGTATAATGTGATTGTATATTTAAGGAAATTTACTATCACTGAGGAGACTTTGTACATTTACAAAGCCTTAAGAGTCCAAGAGTGTAGCAGACTATCAAAAGCTTTATGGTAATCTATTCAAACTGTGCTGAAATTTCTTCCTTTTTTCCTGCAATTTCTTCTTCTTATTTGCTGTTTGATAGAATCAATTACCAAGTCTTTCTCCAACAAAATGATGCTAGGGTACAAATATACAAAACCCATTATACCCACTATGACACCCAGTCTGATAACAGTATATCAGGCACATGCATGACAGCCAAATGTACGCAATATAATGACAGGCTGAGTTCAAAATACTTTCTGATATCTAGATGTGGCTACCAAGTCTTCTTGTCTGTTCCAGCCTTTAAAAAAAAAAAAAAACTCTCTTGATACTCGGGATGGTCCACTAATACTCCCAACACATGAATAGTGATGCACTTTGCATTAGCCCTTAGGAGACATGTTGAACTGGTTAAGATCAATCAACTGGCAACCAAATCTGTGGATATTGAATGGGATATTTACTGTTGTCTATCTTAATTTGCCAAAATGTACATGTTAACACATCCAGTCAGTTAAGAGCACAAGCCATGAGAGCCATGCCTAGTGCAGCATAAGAGCATTCTTCTTCTTCATCTTTCCCATCAACAACAACAATAGCAGCAGCAGTAGTAGTAATAGTAGTAGTAGTAGTAGTAGTAGTAGTAGTAGTAGTAGTGAGAATTATTAATTAATCCAGGGTTTCCTCAGGGATTTTACCAGTAAAATAAAGATGTGTGACAGATATGTATTAACTTTTAATTGACCAGGAATATTATGTAGGAATTTAGGTCTCTAAAATATATATGTATTTAGAATGTTCCTTATATTTCATTTGAATAAGGAAATTATTTTCTTCAGTTCATCTTGTTTCTTTCTATTTTTTTTTTTAGAGAATTCATGGCTTAAGCAAATCAATACATAGATAGGAACAAAATTAGATAGATAGATAGATAGATAGATAGATAGGAACAGAAATTGATAGATAGATAGATAGATAGATAGATAGATAGATAGGAACATAATTAGCTAGATAGATAGGAACATAATTAAATAGATAGATAGGAACAGAATTAAATAGATAGATTGATATGAACAGACTGAAATAGAGAGAAATGGGGTGAACAGAATGAGATAGGAGAGAGTGGGAGATATAAATAGAATGAGATAGTGAAAGAGGGAAGATATGAATAGAATGAGATAGTGAGAGATAAAGAAAGATGAACAGAATGCTAAATATATATATGACCCGAATGAGATAGAGAGAGAGAGAGGGGTTGACAGAATGAGGTAGTTCACTAACTTGCAAGACACGAAGAAAAAGCAATTAAATTCTTTTTGTTTAGCTTTTGTCACCCCCCTCTGCCTGTTATTTTATTTCAAACAGATTCATACAAAAAAAAAAAAATCACAAAAATAAGTTTTATTTTGGTACCTTTGTACATTGCCAGAGCTTGGTTAGTTCTTGCTTGAGTACAAATCCACAATTATAACAAGTTTTATTAATGCTTCTATTCCAACTGTTACCCTAGCATACTCAGCTAGGGTGTTAGATCAAATGGGACTGGACCCCAAGATCCTTTTATTGTATCAATGAATTATCAGAACACAAGAACAGAAAGCAGTTATTTGAATTCTCAAAAAAGCAACAGCCTTAATTCTTATGACTTACACAACTATTTTTATATCTACCCGAGTAACATGTAAATTTCATGATGCTGTCAAACATTTTAGGTAGATTTCTAGAATACGTTACATTATTTTGTCTATTAGTAACACTTGCATTTATTCATTAATTCATTTCTTCCTAAATTTCAGACAAGTAAATGCTCATAAAATTGTATATAAATGACCAATATTTACCTATCACTAAACTAACTAAATATTTATAGACCCAGATATAAATGACCAATATTCATCTATCCCAAACCTAAGCAACTCCTTAGAGATTCAAATATAAGCAACTAACATTTACCTCGTCCTGAACCAAGAAAAGATAAAATTTATAGGCTAAGATAAAATTTCTAAAATTGACTTCTTTTTATATAAAAGTTTAACATTAAAATTATTTATTCTTTGTGATATATGTCCTGTAAAACTTATATATTTCATTTAAGATTAAGTGAAATAAAGTAAAATAAAAATAAATAAGATAAAAAAATAAAAATAAAAATAAAAAAGATAAAAAAATAAAAATAAAAATAAAGAAGATAAAAAAAATGAATTAGCCTCAGATTTGAATGCACAAGGAAAATTTCAAGTGTTGTTAAACCAAATAAACTTGTTTTGCCTAACTAAAGATTTTATATAGTAAAATCATTTGCAGTTCATTTCTATAGCAAAATATTAGAAGTATAGTTTTATTGTACATACAATATTTTGATTCTAACTTTAACATTTACATTAATTTCTAGTCATGCGTAATGCTTTTCGTCTTCATTTCTAATGCATTTTTATAGTAAAATCATTCACAGTTCATTTCTATAACAAAATATTATAACACACCTCTATGGTACCTAGACACTATGAATTTAAGTGTATTACAAGATTGGCGTCAAGATCCCTTCATTTCTTCTTTAGCACTTCTCCTTTGTGGAACTATTTTTCAGCTTCTTGCTTTCAAGTCAAGTTTGATCTTCAAAAATATAAATGCAATATTAATCATTATCTTCTGTCCTCTTAAATTCTGTTCTTTTATTGTTCCTTAATGTTTTTTCTTATATTCTTCCACACTCAGTAACCCCTTACATGTTAGTGGCTTTGTTGCCTTGCTTGGGGTGAAATGATTAAAAAAAAAAAAAAAAAATGTATATTTGCATTAAGCATATAATATCTAAAGTCTAATATTTACATTAATTTTTGGTCACAGATAATGCTTTTCTTTTTCATTTCTAATGCATATTCTATAGTAAAATCATTCGCAGTTCAGTTCTATAGCAAAATATCTGATCAATTAACCAGTTATTATTTCTTATTAATCAGAAAATCGACCAGGAGATATTTTTTTAAATATTTATGAAAGTAGTGTAAAAATACTTTAAGTAAAATAATGAACATGACAACAAATAAGCTATCACTATTTTAATATTCAAAGGATTTGTTCTGGAAGGTTTTTATCAGTATTTTTTAATCATTTAATCTCAAGCGAGTCAATAAAGGCCACTAAAGTGCAAGGGGTTGCCGAGTGTGAAAGAAACAGAGAATACATTATTGTGGAGAAAGGACAATAAAAGAACGGTTTTCAAGGAGAGAGAAGATTCATGATTTAAAAATTTTCCCAAATATTATTTGACTTTATTTTACTGAATAGGAAAAAAAAAAAAAAAAAAAAAAAAAGCATGCTAAAAATTTGGAGCCAACTTCAAGACTTTTAGTGCTGGTTCTGTATTTCTCTGAGGACCAGTGGAAGACTGGGTCTAAAAATGAGACAAATGGGGTCCTACTTACAAGCACAATTCTATCATTTAATTTTCATAATGAATAAATAATTTTTTTTTTTAAAATACGTATGGAAAAAAGAATACAATTAAAATTTTTATGTAAAAAATGTGTATTTCTTAGTAATCACAATGTACATGTACTGTATATATTATTAGCAATAGATACAAAATATAAATGCACAATGTTATAATTTCATGTTTTTTATTTATTTTTTTTTTAATTCTAAGTAAATGGTTGATATTTTTAATAATTTACTGCACAATTTACACATTAACAGATAGTTCAAATGCACAACAGAGCATTGCATGCAATTCACTATATTAAAAGCAATCATTTGTGTTCACTGGATGGTTGTTCAAATCTGCCAATAATTGCCTTCAATTTATTTGACAGTTCCTTTTCAATGGATAGCAATATGTATGATTCCAAATTCTCCTCATACTGATAATTTCTTAACCTTGTCCTTATGATCTTTAGGTTTGAAGGCATCCTCTTATAGTGAACTTATGAATTTCTGAATATGTCCTGAAAGTTTCATTAAAATCCCACTATTATTTGATTTTTGCAAGAATTTCCAAATCAATGTGTTTTTCACCAGAAAAAGTGATAATAAAAAGTAACCTTTATCTTTGGTCTGCTGCTGACATAAAAAAAAAAAGCAAGATTTTTAACCAAAATTTTGAACATGCTACAAAGGAGTAAAAAATTTCAAAAAATAATAAAAAAAATACTTTGGTCTTTCCTCTTGATAATACCATAAACATTTTAATGATACAACTTTGTTTTTATTGAGTTTGGGGCTGTCTTTTTTCATCATGCTATACTGTTTTTTATATGACCAAATCAAGGTCCCTACTGCTAAGTGTGCAGATGATTTTATAAAGTTCTTATTCCATTTTATTACTAAAACAGTTGTTTGTGGTTGTTTCTTCATTTAATTTTTATTTGATATAGGAGGCCTACTCCATCAAGGCTCACTTGCCATTGGGTAAGTTGACCAGTCTGCCACTGCTGAGGAGATTCAAACCAGCAATAATTCTTGAAAAATAGATTTGAAAATGTAGTTACATATTCTTTTTCATATTGAAATGATGTGTTTCAAAAACTAACAAGCATTTAATTTTACAACATTGAATATTATGAAACAGAAAAAAAAAACACTCCTGTGGAATTTTAAAATTTCCATAATCAATTTCTTTAAAAATAATTTGATTTTAAAAATAAAACTTGTATCAGACAGGAATTCCTTTTCTTTTAGGATAACCTTAACATAAAACATAGTCAGTGATATAAACAAGTGATATTTTAATATCTTTGGGGATATAGTTTTGAAGGTCTGATGGTTCACAAAAAAATTGAGGCAAATAGGTGGTCTAACCTAATTTTGGGGTACTGATTTCAGATATGATATCCATTTTCAGTTATCATCTCTAATGTTTTAGATATATATGTACGTAAAAATTTCTCTGAATTAACCTGTAGAAAAAGATAATATGTATTAAGGAAAAAGACTATAGGAAAACTGTAGTTTTAGCTGACACGTTTTGTCCAATGTGGACTTTTTCAATATCACCTTTCCTAACAGAATCACTACTCTCTCAAGCCAACATACATAACAAATATATCAAGAAATCAAACAGCTGAATTTGTCAACACAACAATACAAACAATGTTTCTACACATGAAAATATTCTTTTCAAACAAAGTAATTGACATAATTTTTCAGTTGACCATATGAATATACAATAGCATTTCTAAATTCTAGTTTCTAATGACTTTTTGTTTCTTGTTTATAGATGCTTTTTTTCAATAAATTCATTTCATTTTCTGCCTTTGAAAAAGTCTACATTGGATGAAATGCATCGTCTATAACTACAGTTTTCTTATTGTCTTTTCCCTATATACATGTATACATGTATATAAATAGGTATTTATGACCAATTTATAGATGCTAAATTGAATTTAATATTTTAACAGGTTGATGACATGGCAAAATTTCTTTTTTTAGAAATTAAAATAATCTATTTTTATCATTCCTATAATGCTCTATAACTATATACAAACATTTTATATGTTACATAGATGTTTATATCATGATTTTTTGATAATTCAAATAGTTATATACATGATCAATGTTTATTTTATTTTAAAGATTTTTGTGAGCTGTTAAATATCTCCAGTAATGGTATCCCAAACTTTCAGAAACCGGTTCTATAAAGACAGGTAATCTTTAGAAACCTATTCTGCTTATTTTCTTTTTAATCTGAGAATGGAAACAAATCACTTAAATCATATCAAAAATAATTAACCCATTTTGATAATTTAATAGAAAACATTTATTTATTAAGATATTTCCAGATTGAAGTTCTGTTCTCAACATATTTCTGTTCAGGAGTATGATGCTTTTTGACTCAAGTGTCATCGGCTGTGTTATGATTTCTTAGCCACATTCAAACTGAATCACTGCAATTCCAAAGATCCAATGGGTGGCCTATCAAATTTATGACTAGAAAATTTGCCACATTTTTAACTTCAAAACTTTTGGTTGGAATGTTGAACTGAACCCTTTGTTTCACTCACTGGGGTAGACTGTTCTAGTTCCATGTGCCATGTTTAATGGATGTCAGTTATCAGTGGGCAAAATAAAGGTTTCAGTTTG